TGATGTGGGTACTTAAATGAAAGCTCTTGATGAGTGTAACATCGGGATGAGCTTATATCTTTAAAAACGTCAATAGCTAAGGAAGTACAGGGCACTTTAGCAAATATCTTGTTAACTATTGACATTTTTAAAGATACAAGCTCATCTCGATGTTACACTCATCAAGACCTTTCATTTGAGTACCCACATCACTTTTTCATATATTTTATATATTTATATATATGTATATATGAAAAATATATCAAAATGCATGTGGGTACTCAAATGAAAGCTCTTGATAAGTGTAACATCGGGATGAGCTTATATCTTTAAAAACGTCAATATTTAAAAAAGTACAGCGCAATTTAACAAAAGTCACTATTTGATAAACCAAAATTTTATTTATTTATATTCCACAAGTCACGAAAGTCACACAGTGACTGCAAGGTTGCTAGTTAATAATTAAAATTAAAAATTTTTAATTAATACACCAACTTGCGGATTTAAAATCCATTTTTACCCAAGATCCCGTGGAGCCCCATCTCCGTAACCGACGACCAAAAAGGCCGTGAGTGCTAAAGTGTAGGGGAATACACGAGTAGGAACTACTGTCACTTGAACCCAGCATTTTTTTTCTAGTCATTAAGAATTTTTTAATTACTAAAAAAGTCTCTAGTTTTATTTTATTTTATTTTATTTACACTTGTTTAATTAAAACAACACACATATTTATTTTAATATTTATTTATTGAAACGTGAGCACGCGAGTTGAATCAGTCCGCGGTGCTCGCGATTACGATGAGAACTCGTTGTCGATGAGCCGAGCTCTACTAGGGTAAGCAAAGTCCCCACTCGAGGCTCCATACCAGCCAGCAAAATATATTAAACCTTTCACCGATAGTCGTTTATAAATTGTTCAATTTAATAATTCATAGTGTATAAATATAAATATAAATAGAAATAATATTGAGTGTAGTGAGCTAACAGACTCGAGCTAATGTTAGATTGAATTAATCAGGAATCTTTGAATTATTTAACAATAAAATAAAATAAAACATTTATTTTCATTTTATTCCTACGCACCGCATCTTTTATCGGTTACAAATTCTTTTAATTCTTCGTGTCAAGGTAAAGGCTGTTTGATGATTAAAAAATACTGTCATTTAAATATCTAATATTTTTTTTTAGAACAAAAAAATAAATTGTTGCACCGAAAAAAAAAATCTTGAACCAAGAAAATAATATTGAAGAGTTTTTAGACGAAAAATTTTTTAATTAAATAAAATTTACTCAAACTAAGAAAAATTTCTGTTTAAGAATTTTTGGTTGTTATTCACAAGTAGGGTCAACTCTATTTTGGGCCATAATTAGGTCAAAAATTCACATTTTTTAATTTTTTTGGACTCTGCTTGTTTTTACGGCGCATTTATGATAAAAAATGTCGTAAAAAAAAAAAAAAACAAAGATTTTGATAACTTTTTTGCCTTTAAAAGTTGAAAAAAAAAAATTGGCTTTCATATTTTTGGATAAAATTTCTATTTTATTTTTTTTGAAAAAAACAAACAATTAAAAAAAAATTGATCATTTTAAAAGTTGTAAAAAAAATTGGCTTTCATGTTTTTGGATAAAATTTCTATTTTATCTTTTTTTGATTTATTTTTTTTGAAAAAAACAAACAATTGAAAAAAAATTGATCACTTTCAAAGTTGTAAAAAAAATTGGCTTTGATGTTTTTGGATAAAATTTCTTTATTATCTTTTTTTTTATGTTTTTGAAATATTTTTTTTTTGAAAAAAAAAAAACAATTAAAAAAAAAAATTGATCACTTTAAAAGTTGTAAAAAAAATTGGCTTTCATATTTTTGGATAAAATTTCTATTTTATCTTCTTTTAATACATTTTTTTTTTTTAAACAAATAATTAAAAAAAAAAAAATTTATATGGCCCATGATGAGATTGACCTCACTTGTAAATAATTCCCAAATTTTTCATTTTTCTGCTCAAATCAAAAAGAAGAAATTCTTTAAAATAATTTACTTAATTGAAATTAATTTTTTTTTTTGTATAGTTTAATTATAAAAAAAAATATAATAATGAGTAATAAAAGAGTAGATGAAAACTAATGGCATATAATTCAAATCTAAATGAGCGAAGTATACTTTAATGAGTCAGTCTATATCCTAACAGTAGGTATAATATAAGCACATGCTCATGTAGTTTAAATCGAGTGATAATATAACCGACGGCGTTTCCGTGTCCGGTGATACGCGAGACTCAACGTCGTGCTTGCGATTCGCGATATCATCTGATATTTCGAGCTAAAGCATTACTGCACTGGCGTGGTCTCCGTTTCCTATTTGCGTGCCATTACTATGAGCGCTACTACTCTACGCATCTTTAATGATCACTTGAACGATAGCCTCCGGCTTATACTACTTATATTATATATATGTATGCATATAATAGTAGTCCGTACTGGTACTAGAAGTCTAAGTCTGAGTCTGTAAGTACACAAACTACAAAGTGCTGGTAACTGGGCATAGTTGTTCAATGTTCACTGCGAGAGCGTACTCCATACTAAGCGAATTGTTTTATCAGCGAAAGTTTACTTATGCCCTGTAAGGACTGTTTTACTTCTCTATCCTCTACTGAGATACGAACTTCAACACGTCAGTCTATATTACCATATTATATCCTCTGCTTTTAATCATTACACCAATTATATTAACTTTTAATTACTTTACACACATGCACTGTCTGTATATCATATTAAACAGAAAAATAAATGCGATTTTTTATCACCGGGTTTAATTTATTACAAATGAAAGTTTGTGATTATAATAATAATAGTTGTGTGAGGTTTTAATTTAGAAACGATAATCAAAAATTAACTTTCTATTATTAAAATTTTTTTTTCATATATATTATTGAGAGAATACGCAAAATTCTGTGGACAGTGTATTTATATGATAAAATGGGTTTTAATGATTAAATTTGGTATCGTTGGAAAGAGGTTGACCTGGAGTTGTGCCTTTTCAATGTTTCATATCATTCTCACCAATAGTCAATTTATTATGATGAGTCTTTAGGCTGCATTCAAAAATGCTCTGTCTTCAGATAAATAATTAAGAAATTACCTTGTATCTTGTGAAATATTGACATTTTAAAAGATATAAGTTCATCTCGTTGTTACACTCATCAAGACCTTTCATTTGAGTACCCACATCCATTTTTCATATATTTTATATATTTATATATATGTACATATGAAAAATATATCAAAATGCATGTGGGTACTTAAATGAAAGCTCTCGATGAGTGTGACATCGGGATGAGCTTATATCTTTAAAAATGGTAATATTTAAAAAAGTACAGTGCACTTTAACATAATTACGAAATGATCTTGTATCTTGTGAACTATTGATATTTTTAAAGATATAAGCTCATCCCGACATTACACTCATTGAGACCTTTTATTTGAGTACCTACATCAATTTTTCATATATTTATGTATATTATATATATGAATATATGAAAAATATATCAAAATGCATGTGGGTACTCAAATGAAAGCTCTTGATGAGTGTAACATCAGAATGAACTTATATCTTTAAAAACGTCAATACTTAAGAAAGTACAATATAATTTAACATAATTAAGAAATGACCTTGTATCTTGTGAACTATTGATATTTCTAAAGATATAAGCTCATTCCGACATTACACTCATCGAGACCTTTCATTTGAATACCCACATCAATTTTTCATATATTTTATATATTTATATATGTGTATATATGAAAAATATATGAAAATGCATGTGGGTACTCAAATGAAAGCTCTTGATGAGTGTGACATCGGGATGAGCTTATATCTTTAAAAATGACAATATTTAAGAAAGTACAGTTTAATAAAACTTAATTAAGAAATGACCTTGTATTTTGTGAACTATTGACATTTTTAAAGATATAAGCTCATCCCAGCATTACACTCATCGAGACCATTCATTTGAATACCTACATCAATTTTTCATATATTTATATATATTATATATATATGTATATAATATATAATATATCAAAAATGCTTGTGGGTATTCAAATGAAAGCTCTTCATGAGTGTAACATCAGGATGAGTTTATATCTTTATAAATGTCAATATTTAAGAAAATACAGTGCAATTTAACAAAAGTCACTATTTAATAGACCAAAATTTTATTTATTTATAGTTCACAAGTCACATAGTGACTGACTAGTAAATCATTATTTAAACAAAAATAATTATTTTTTCTGAAGTAATCTCATAAATAAATAAACAATATTTTATTTACTACATAATAAATATTAAAAATGTAATAATTTCGCTAACACGTAATTAAAATTTTGTAATAAAACTATAAATAATTAATATATATGTTAGTTAATTGATAAAAAGTAAAAGCTCCGAACAGAAGTTGGTTTTACTTGCGAATAAAGTGAAAAAAAGCAATAAATAATAAATGAAAATAATTTCTTTGATCGAGAAACGCAGTGGTTACGCCACCGCAATTACCGAAGGATGACGAGAAGCTGGACGACGGCAAATAAAAGTAAACAGCACGAGCTGCTGGCAATAAACTAGATAAGATGCCTCCACGACTTTGAGATCGGAAATCGCCGGTGTGCACTATAGAGGATTAATAGTATCGAGGACGACTCGATACGGGTGTTTGCCACACGTCCCTCGGAATTAATTACCCAGCGAATCGTTCAATAAGGTATCGAAACTGCCTCCCCCACACTCCATACTTAATACGTAGTCTGAATACTTGATGCACATATACATGACCCTGGACTAATCAATCACACAGACAAGCTGTGTCTTATTATTATTTAATTACTGTACAATTTGCGTACTCTTAAAATTGTTTAAATTTCAAAGCTCTGTTTAATTAATTAATTAAATGTAAAAAAAATAATAAAATAAAAACATTATTTTATTTGTACAGTACCGGTTGAGTTTTACAACCTTACAGATAGATATTTTATTACCTTCTCCTGAACATTAATAAGGTGAAGAATAATAAATAAAAAAAATGTTCAATCTTGTTATTAGAAAGCGTGAAATAGAACGTATGTTTCTGTATGCTTAATGATATATTATTGTGTTATCGTGTGTGTTCGCTAATTAAAACTGTTTTAAAAGGATCAAGTATTAATACACGTTAAAAACTCACCTGAGTGTGACGGTCCTTGTAAAAGTATAGGATAGGGCCACGAAGAACGCCCCACACTTGCTTCCACGAACGGTCTGTAGATCTCTAAAAAAATTATTGCAAAAAAAAAATAATTAGTTATTATTTGTCAACTAATTGCAATAGCTTTATAAAAATTTTCACTCTAACTACTTATTTTTAATTAATTATATAAGGAACAACTTGTGTAATATTTTTTTAAAAATATTTCACTTATTATATTGATGAAGATTTAATCAAAGAGATTTCACTACTTTCAATAATTAACTTTGACTTTAATTGTTTTTCAGAAGAATATTTATTAATAAAATTAATTGGATAAATTTATAATGAAATTTTTATTTAATTATTTCTAATTCAAAAATTATTATATTTTTAGCTTAAAAAACAGCTTTCACCATTTTTTTTAGACTTGATCACCTTCTTCAGTATTAGAAACTTAATTAAAATATTCAGGAGGAATAATGTTGGTTATAAACGTCATTATTTAGACGGTAGAGTTTAAAATTAATCCGTGATATCGAATACTATTTCGAGGAATTAATGTTTATATGATAAAATAAATTTTTAAAAATATTAGTCATTATTATTGTTATTATTAAGTGTGTGTGACTGAAAGATCGTTACATTTTTTCAGTTGAGTTTTGGTCAGTTGGTTACAAGAGCGCTCCTTGTAAAGATATTCCAGAAAGAAAAATTGACTGGAGAACAAAATTTTTGGCTCAAGAAAATTTTCGGGTGCCTGAAGGAAGACCGAAGTTGTGTTGGCCGAAGTAAAAATTTTCGAGAAATTCTATTCTTGGTGGAAGTCATTTTTTCTTAATTCAAATTATCATAAATACTTGATACAATAAATTTTTATGTTTGATCAAGATTTTTAGATACTTTAGGGAAGCAGCGCTACCTAATTCAGCTGAGAAAAACATTTTTTCACCTTGAGAAAATTTTTCTCTTGAATATTTGATGCCCATTTTATATTATTTTAGCATGTGATTATACATATTGAATGAAAAAAAATGATTCAATATTATTTGATCCTCCCATTTGACATGTTAATCAATAAAAAAATTAATGAAAATTTACTTCT